CACGTGACAAGTGCTCAGAACTACGGTGCTGTGGAAGGGCACGGCATCAAAGCCTGTGATGTTTGGTGAGGGTCGACGTGTCCTTCCACATTAACCGTATAGTTCTACAACACATACACATATCTATATTCTAAATATACATATATATACATACATACATATAATATATACATACATACCTACCTACCTACCTGGGAAGGGAGGGGGCGAAAGCCAGCCTCCGTAAGGAGATATGAATATGGTCAACGGGGTGAACGCGAGAGCGCAGGGGAAGCGTTGGGAGGCACAGGCGGGGCTGACATGACAGGCCTTCCAGGTGGGGGGGGTGGGCGGGGTGCCCTTTTTCTTTTGGAGGAAGATGCGTTTGAAAGAGAAAAAAGGACGCCCCCAAGTCTGCTTGTCTGCGGCTTGGTTCCGTGGTTTGTGGATGGACTCATAAACCTGCGTCCACTCCCATTCACTCTTACAGTGCGTAGCCTGAACTTCGGCCCCCACCAAAGCCCAACCACCGACGTTCCCTTCCACCCTTTTTCGCCAGGAGAACTATCCTCCAAAAGTCACGTTCTCTCCAGAGCGCTGAGCGACGCACTTCTCGCTTCCCTGGTGAGCTCCCCGCCTCTTCCTATCTCCCCCGCTATGCCTATCCTCGACATGAACTCCCACCCCATATGGGGCGCCCTTTTGCGTATGGTTAACAGGCGTCTTCACCATAAAAATGGGCACCCCCAAGCAACTCAAAGATTTTTTGCAATTCCTCTCTTCCTACCGCGTCCTCCTCCGCTACGCCTGTCTTCCACATGAACTCCCAGCCCATATGGGGTGCCCTTGTGCGCCTGGCTACTACGCCGCTTCACCATAAAAAAGGGCACCCCCAAGCAACACAAAGCTGGCCCACCGCATTCTGTTCCCTCTCCTGCCCTTAACGGATCACATCATTTCTTGCAACCCCTTCCCCACAGCATTCTGTTTCCTCCCCTGCCCTCACAGATCACATCACTTCCACAAGACAGAGACGCTCACTCCCTTTCGCAAACGATTTATATGCACAGCCACCAGAGACGCACATCTCCCTCCTGGCGGCGTTCCTACCACTTTTCGCATCCCGTTCTCACCCCTTTCCTATCGACGTGAACCCCCACTGGTAGAAGACTGTTTACTTGCCTCCCAAGCCCCTCATGATGCTAATTGGACTGGCACCCCTACCGCCAGCTGATCCGCAGTCTCCCAGCCGAGCTCAAACCGCACCTGAGAACATGGGTACAAGCAGCCATCCACTATAGAGAGGCGGGACAGCCCAAGCAGTGTCCCATCTGCCAGGCGCCTGCCACTCCAAAGCACATCATTTGGGTGGGCAAATGGCACCAGGGACAGCAGCACAAGCCCATGCCACCAGAGTGGGCAGAGCGCATTCTGGGCCACGATGAAAAGCCTTTGTGGAGTGCAGGGTGGATACCTGTTGAACCACAAGAGGACCTTCAGGCCCTGGCACCACATCAGCATCAAGGATGGGCCTTCACATTGGATGCCACCCCATCAGCGTATGACCAGAGAAGTCAAGTCTGGGTCTTTGGCCTTTGTGTGCACCAGGCCCTACTTGCAGGCCTTGTCGCCCTGGCCAGACACACTACGACACCTGTCAGCGTCATTGTCCAACTCACGGCAGTCTGGGAAGTCTGGACGCAACCGAGACATCGACCACCCTTCCAAGATCTCTTGGAACAAGTCACTGCGCAGGACTTCACCAGAGTCACAGTCGTCTATGTCTGCCGCAATACTCGGCACCTGAAGCACCTGGCAACGAGCCTCAGCTGAGGAGACGTCAAAGAGATGCAGCCGGTGGCGTGGGAAGCCAACGCTCTGCGCGATAGAAGACAAACTGAATGGCAGAAAGTGCTAGATGAAGACCACAAGCTCATCTACCAGCATGTGGTGGCACGACTCGCCAAAATCTTTGGTAACAAGGAACACGACATCCATCAAAAGGCACCAAAGCACCTGGGCAAACACTAAGCAGTACAAGAAACAGCTGGTGGCTCAGTGTACCAAGCCATGGACCTCACCTCACCACAGATGGATGCCACATCGTAGTGGCTATCAATGTGGTGTCTGTGGCCTTCGGGTGCACCAGGCCCTCACTGTGCCTGTCATTGAAGAGCACCTTCAACAAGATTGGCCACAGCTCAGCATCGAAGCACAGCAGCCCGAACAGCCTAGCCCACACAAGGCACTACCCAAGAAGTTGACCAGGATCCAGGTCATCAGACAGCTCTTGGAACAACAACAGGCGGCATCACCCAGCCAGAGCAGCACGGGCTGGAAGAAACCAAAGGGTATCTTCGCTGTGACAAATGTGGCTGCAGTGTACACAAGCGAGTCAATGAGGGTGCTTTCCAGGCCTTTGTGTCCAGCCCGTGCCATCCGCAGGCCCTGCAAGGGAGCTGCTACAAGTGGATCTCCACCGTTGCCTGAGCTTTTTCGCAAACAAGCTCAACAGGCCTCACAACAGCCTGACACCAAGGCTGATGACAACTTGTGCACACAGGAAGCCAACCGGCAGGCTGATCAGACAGCCATTTCTCGAGCTCCACACACGCAAGCCACACCCACCGTTTCAAGCACAGCCACAGCCTCAGGAGGTCCCACTCCTCGCAGACTGCACTTTGATAGTGAACTTGATCGGAGTGCCTTCGAAGCCCAACCAGCCACATCTGCCCAGGCCATGACACCCAGCCACACGGCAGAACCAACACCTGTCATGACCACTGACACCAGGTCACTGCAGGAAGAGCAGAACGAAGAAGAGATGCTTGAGACGGATGAGGTGTTGGTGGACTACTTCTAAGAAGACCACCGCGGCACGAGCGCGCTGCCAAATGCTGCTGCCGACATTACATTACATTACATTACAATACAATAAAATACAATACAATACAATACATTACATACATTACATACATTCCATACATTACATACAGTACATACAGTACATACATTACATACATTACATACATTGCATTACGTTACATTACATTACATTACATACATACATACATACATTACATAATTACATACATACATACATACATTACATTACATTACATTACATTACATTGCATTAATACATACATACATACATACATAATTACATTACATTACAATACATTACAATACAGTACAATACAATACAT